AAAAGTTTGGAGACTAAAATTTGACATTTAACCTTATACAATAAAAGTATGAAACCCAATAATACACATTTAAGGCCCAAGGTAAATGGGCTCAAACCTTATAGCCTCTTTGAATGTCGGAACTCTTCCAACCTTCCCGGAATGCCAGTGGTTTCCCACCATCTTATGCTGAGTAGTTTTCTGATTTCTCCTCAACCTTGGTCATGCTCCTATCTATCAGTTCACCAAAATTGAATGCTATCCCATCCTTAATTATACCCAACAATGCACCAGGTTTTACCTGTAGTTCTCAATCCATAAACTTTTTTTGCATACATTTTTTAAAGGTTAAAAGTTTTTCTAAACTTTTGTTTACATGAGACTCATTTAATAAATTTTCTATGAAATTTTTTTCTGTCAATTTTTTACTAAATACAAAAAATTAATAACATAATAAAATTCAAACAAAATCTTATTATAAAACTTGAGAATGAGGAAAATCAAGACGGTCTTAACATGTAAAATACAAGAAATAAGAATGAAAAAAAATAAATGCCTTTCATAAATCAACATGTAAAAAATACTCATTAAAAATATTTAAATAATTTCACAAAATATCTTAATATTCAAAATGTCAAAATATTTTAATTTTCACTTTTCTCATAAAATTTATCAATTTTTCATATAATATTTTATGTACAGGGTTTTCCCAATCATTTTCTGAATAAAATAAATCCCTATCCAAATAGGCCAAGTGTTTATGGTACATAGCGACTAATCAGAAGAAAGAGTTCTCAGCCTGGAAGCATTAATCATTGCCATTGCTTTGATATGATTTCTATTTTTATTTTTGTCTTTCTCATTCTCTTAACCTTTTATCTTTTCTAGTGAAGGTGGGAAGTAGTGTTTTCAAATCGAACTGGACTGGTAGGTCTAACCGGTTAAACACTTAAAGTAATAACCAACCATGAAAATAATTTGTTAAAATAAGGTGGTTTATCAATTAAACCAGTCAAAAACCAGCTGACTTATTGGTAAAATTAATAACAAGTGATCAAAACAGTTCCACCAAGAATACTGGTAAACGAGACTAAAATTAATCAAAATAGGTCATATTTTATACGACTTTAATATATTATTGTGTGATCCATATTATCTCTAAACTCTTTGCGTCTGTAGGTTTAAGTTTACTAAATTAATCGGTGCTTAAAATGCTAATTGAAAGGAGTGTCCTTTATATATATAAAAAATATACATTATTTTTTTGGTATATTTAATAATGATGATTCATATAAAAAAAGATAATTTTTTTTTTTAAAATCTCTTTCCACTTGATTTAAAATTCAAAATTTGAGATTTTTAACTTAAAATTTCAAAATTTTAATTATTAAACCATCCCCTTGAAATTATACATTATTATGTAATTGTAACCACAACCATATTATGTGAATAGCTGTGAAGACTCTGACCTACATGTAAGACATTAAAAGAAACCCAAGCAGATTCGCTTAATTTACAGAGAAGTGCACTCTACCTTATTAATTATATATGATGAAAAAAATATTGTCCAATTTAAATTAATTATTATATAAAAAATAAAATTTTTATAATTAAAAATCCTTATTTATTCAATAATTTTTATCTTATAATCCATATAATTTGAACTTTAAAATAAAAAACTCAA